TGGTACGCGGGCCTCTCACTGCTGTGGCCTCTCCCGTTGCGGAGCACAGGCTCCGGACGTGCAGGCTCAGCGGCCATGGCTCACGGGCCCAGCCGCTCCACGGCATGTGGGACCTTCCCGGACCGGGGCACGAACCCATGTCCCCTGCATTGGCAGGCGGACTCCCAACCACTGCGCCACCAGGGAAGCCCTGTTTGTAGGTTTTTTGAATCCTGAGTGCATACTGGTGACTTGAATTCAAATCTAGCACCACAAGGGCAGTCTATCTTGTACCTCCCCATATCTGTTTTCTACTTCCTTTCCCACAGAATGAGTCATCTGGTTCCCAATATCAGTATATCTGCTCATTTGCTCTGTCATATAATCACACAAAAAATGGTTTCAGAAGTATATCATTATCTCTCAGATAACAGACTGCTCAGGTAACGCTCAAAATTCCTTCATGTCCTTAGAATATATTCCACTAAAGATATAGAGGATACTGGGTTCAGAGTTACTTGAATTCTTCCTTTCTGGTTATCTTAACAGTTTGATACACAGGTAAACTTGTTTGATTACATTTGTGTTCAAGTTTAGTATTTTCTTGTTTCTTGATTCTTTTTTATTTAATTTTACATTTTTGAGTATGTAGAAACATTAACGCAGTTCAGGAGTCAAAACTATAGAAAGGTGTACACTCCCATCCCTTCTGCCCTGTTCCCGTCCACTTCCTGTAGGTTACAGGGCTCACTTATCTCTCGTTTATCCTTCCTGTGTTTCTCTTTGAAGAGATAAATCATAAATATAGTCTTATCTCTCCTTTTGTATACAAAAGAAGTACACTCTACTCTTTTGCATTTTGCTTTCCTATTCCTTTTTTTTTTTTTTTTTTTAATTTAAGCCACTGCCTTCTAGTATGTCTACCAGTATTGATGCTGGAATCTAGCATTAACAGCAAATTAAACAATAATGACAATATAATACTCTACTTTAGAGTGAATTACTTAACTTTTTTAAAAAGTTAACTTTATCTGGTCATCTGGTATTTTGAGGGTCCTACTACTTGAAAAGCTAGTTCTTCTCATAATTTATGGCCTATTTGCTTTAGTTGGCAGAATGACCCAAAATATACAGTGAATTCTTTAGGGAGAGAGTTCAGCACACTCTCAACACTGAGAAAACCCATGGCAAGATGGAGCTAGGCCTTTGCTGGAGTCAGGACCATCTTCTGGGAGGTGCTGCCCATCTGGGACCACTTGAGGTTTTTAGGTGATTCAGGTTGAATTAAGGCTGTAAACCCACAAGAGGGGCAGTTTATGATTATGTATTTTGGGGGGAGATTTTGCTCCCACCAAAGAGCACAAAACTGAGAAAGGCAAGGTCCTCTTTTGTAGAGGTGAGGTGTTTGGGTTATGTTTGTTTTTCTAGCCTGTCCTTGTACAGGGTGTAGCACAGAGTGTGCAGACTCCTGCCAGCTGCCCCAGGTTGGCTGCAGGCTTTGTCTTCTGGCTCCCGAGCCCCTTGCACCCTCAAGGGGAAGCTGAAGGTCGTCAGCAGGATGGAGGAGTGTCTCAGGAAGCCAGCTTCAACTTTCGCTGACTTCTGGTATTCCTGCTCTCACTTGATTTTTGACTTTGAGGATTTCACTTTCTTATCAGCTCAGAGATGTATAAGTTGAACCTTTGGTTAGGGCATCTCATCAGTCATACCTGAGGGAATGGAAACTTTGATGATTCACAAATCTAGCAGTAGTGTTGGCTTTCAATGGCCGTTCCTGTCTCAGAACTTTATGGTCTTTACATCATACAGGACCCAGCCATTCTTTCAGGTTCAGCCCAAACCAGATCTGCCCTAAAAGTGTTCCTTCATTACCTGGTCAACACTGATCTCTTCTGCTAGAGATATTACACCACTGTTTGATATTTAACACTTCTAATCGGTCCTTTCCAGTTAGTTATATACACATATTTAAGCCCTGCTTAATGATCTTAATTTCTGAATTACCAGTAAACTGACTGATTTAAAAATGTGTGCTTTTCTGAAGGAAATGTAAAAGAAGCATAAGCCATTTCCAGAGTTTGCATCTGAGTTGGAAATACAAGAAACACACAAAACTGTGAAATAATAATATAAAGCCAAGTTCTTGCCATGGGCCCAATATTTTATTAGGTTGGACCATATGAAACTGCTGATATTCAGCCAGATTGACCTACAAAAAAGGCAGTTTCATATGATTCAACCTAATCTGTACTTTAGAATTCTAAGAAGGAGGAGAGAAACATGAGCTGGGCCATAAGCATCTTTTTCAGTAGGTGGAGAAGGTGTCATAAGAGAAGCCTGGAGTCTGGAATTAGTGGCACCTTTAGAAGACTATAAGGACATAGTTCTAAGTTATGTGGATAACTTTGAACTTTAAGCTGAATATGAGTTGTGATAGAGGAGGGAGTACAGTAGAAAAGGCTAGATTATTTGGGGTCTCAGTACTGAGTGGAGGTATTTTAACTTTTCTTTCTTTAACTTTTATCCTTTAAGCGGCTGATCCTGAAACTTCAGTGTGATTCAAACCTCCTGGAGGGCTCAGCCCCACCCCCGTTTTCTGACTCAGTATGTCTGGGAGGGGCCCAGTCACTTGACGTATTTCAGGTGACAGTGAGGCTCATGCCACTGGTCTGGGGATTGTACCCCTGAGAACCATGACTTCAGGCTGTAAGAGTTACTAGACGTATTAAAACATGGAACACACACCGTGAAACTGCCTCCAGAATATTACGTACAGTGTGCAGGTAGATTGGAAGGAGGGGTGGTGACAGTCAGCCTGCTTTATGACCCATTATGTAAATTACAGCTTATATGATTATAGATGTTTGTGTAATAAAAGTCATCCCAGGTTGTCCCACAGTTTATCGTCTGTTTTCACTTCTTAGCTCTGTTGCCTGACCTAACCTATTCTATTAACTCCACACCCGTGTTGAATAGGGAGGAGCCTCTCCTTCTTCAACAATTTACTCCTGTTTTCTGCCCTTTTATTCTCCTTTCCCAAGCATTAAGGACCATGTTATGGTCCATAGTCTTTTTAGGCATTTTATTTATGTTCATTATTTTGTTTCTGCTTTGGCAGTTTCCTTTTTCCAAATAGAGGAAGACTTTTTATGTACTTTTTCAATTTCAGAATGGGAAACAGAAGCCCAAGAGTGTACTTCGGTGGAAAATGTTTCTAAACTCACAAAGGATGGAACCAAGACCATTAAGCTGGAAGAACCCTATGACTATGATGACAGATTGGAGGGGCAAGCAACAGAGACCTTCAGAAGAATTCCCACCAACGAGAGAGATTTCAGTTTGAAGTCAGTCCTTTCAGAAGAAGATGATCATGCAGAAGACTATAAATATGATATATATAGAAGTAATTTTGAAAAGCATCCAAACCTAATGATACAGTTTGATACCCAGTCAGATGATAAAACTTCTGTGTACGACGAAAGCAAGGCCACCTTCAATCACGTCTCTTATGATATCGTACACAGGAAGATATACCCCGGAGAGAAGCCTTATAAGTGTAATGTGTGTGGGAAGAAGTTCAGAAAGTACCCATCCCTCATCAAACACCAAAGTAGCCATGCCAAAGAGAAGTCTTATGAATGTGAAGAATGTGGGAAAGAGATTAGACAAGTCTCATCCCTCATTGCACATCAGAGGATGCACACTGGAGAGAAGCCCTACGAATGCCACCAGTGCGGGAAAGCCTTCAGCCAACGCGCACACCTCACCATCCACCAGCGGATCCACACGGGAGAGAAACCCTACAAGTGCGATGACTGCGGGAAAGACTTCAGCCAGCGTGCACACCTCACCATCCACCAGAGGACACACACGGGAGAGAAACCCTACAAGTGCTTGGAGTGTGGCAAAACCTTCAGCCACAGTTCATCGCTGATTAATCACCAGAGAGTTCATACTGGAGAAAAACCTTACATATGCAACGAGTGTGGGAAAACGTTCAGCCAGAGCACACACCTCCTTCAGCATCAAAAGATACACACAGGAAAAAAACCATATAAATGCAATGAGTGTTGGAAAGTGTTCAGTCAGAGCACTTACCTTATCCGACATCAGAGGATTCATTCTGGAGAGAAGTGTTATAAATGCAACGAATGTGGAAAAGCCTTCGCTCACTCCTCCACTCTTATTCAGCATCAGACCACTCACACTGGAGAGAAATCCTATATATGCAATATATGTGGGAAAGCCTTCAGCCAGAGTGCAAACCTTACCCAACATCACAGAACACATACCGGAGAGAAACCCTATAAGTGCAGTGTGTGTGGGAAAGCCTTCAGCCAGAGTGTACACCTTACTCAGCACCAGAGGATTCACAACGGAGAAAAACCCTTTAAATGCAATATATGTGGGAAAGCATATAGACAGGGTGCAAATCTTACTCAGCATCAAAGGATCCATACCGGAGAGAAACCCTATAAATGCAATGAATGTGGGAAAGCATTTATTTATTCATCATCACTTAATCAGCATCAGAGAACTCATACTGGAGAAAGACCCTATAAGTGTAACGAATGTGACAAAGATTTTAGCCAGAGAACATGCCTTATTCAGCACCAGAGGATTCACACAGGAGAGAAGCCCTATGCATGCCGTATATGTGGTAAAACCTTCACCCAGAGTACAAACCTCATTCAGCATCAGCGTGTTCATACAGGTGCCAAACATCGTAATTAATGCATATGGGAGACTTCATTTAGGTTTTAAAACTTAACCATTTAAAATTCTATTTTGTATTCTGTGTTAGAAACATTATTCAAGAGAAGTGCAATATGGGTTAGATTATCACTCAGCAGAAGTATCAGAATTAGTGATGTGGATATAACCTATTTAAATGTACTGTGAAATTTAAGAAGAAAACATTCACTTCTTAACCTTTATTTGATACCAGTTTAATTCATTCCAGAAAGAAACCCTAGGAAAGTAAGAGTACTCAAAGTCCTATAACTCATCAACTCTTACCATGTTTCAAGTACTTCTTAAGGAGGCCTTACGAATGTAACTTGGGAAAGCTTCCATCCAGTAGAGCTTTCACACCAGAGAGTAATCCTGGGGTAACAGAAAAAAAGCTGCTTTCAGGCCTTTAGTTCTTCTTAGCTTTGAAGCCTTAAATATGTAAAGGTCCCTTCCCCCTTTTTATTTCCCTTTTCCTATTATGCCATAACTGCCATGTGGAGCCAGTAGGTTTGCAAAAAAACAAAACAAAGTTGAAAGTATCTTAATTTCTATGTGACCACGGTTTAATTACGCTTTAAGTACTGAAACATTAAAGAAAGAGAAGCTTAATGAAAGATGATCTGTTAGGAGAAGCTAATGTGTCTATAATCCTTAGACATGTACAAATTTACAGGCAAAGATTAAACCCCCAAGCTTAATATTTAAGACATATTAGACTTAGTTTCACTAGCTTTTGACAACTGTAATCCAGAAGGAAAAAAATAAGAATACTTTTTTTTTTTTTTTTTTTTTGCGGTACGTGGGCCTCTCACTGCTGTGGCCTCTCCCGTAGCAGAACACAGGCTCCGGACGCACAGGCTCAGCGGCCATGGCTCACGGGCCCAGCCGCTCCGCGGCATGTGGGATCTTCCCAGACCGGGGCACAAACCCGTGTCCCCTGCATCGGCAGGCGGATTCTCAGCCACTGCGCCACCAGGGAAGCCCAAGAATACTTTTTTTTTTTCTACCTGACTCCAAAATTCGTACCTTAAAGTTCCCCTGTGACTTAACTGTAGAAAGTCTGTTTCTTCCTTTGAAACATGTTTCTTGAGTGCCTGCTGTGCTCAGGGCCCAAACTTCCTAACTGGATTCTTCCAGGGCTTAAATTCCAAAAACCACAGCTGGTTTAAGCAATAGAAAGCTTTCTAAAGTAATGAAAGATGAAGTCAAGGACATGATGTTAACCAGTATGTCCTGGAATGAACCTAAGAAACCTGCTAAAATGGGTTGCCAGATGCAGCCCCATTATCTTAAGGAAGTAATGAAAGCAGCTATTTAAATAGTATGAGGAAAAAATAAGTAGTGGAAAATAGGTTTGAGTTCAGTGCAGAAAGTGGGTTGGGGGAAAAAATTGAAGACGTAAGGGTGAGGAAAGATAATACAGAGGCAACTGTTATAACTGAAGTGTTGCTGGACTTGGTTTACCTAAGAAAATGAGTGACTACTTGAATTAAAAAGCAAAATTCAGCCTGTTTATGAGAAGAAACTGAAACTGAAATGACTAATTTCAAAAGGATAATTGAAATTGGTACTCCTTGTATGTGTAAGTAAAATAGGGATTACTCTTAAAATAACAGGGAAAAAAAGTTTCATTGGAAAAAGAGTTGACGCAGAAACTATCATTGATACAGTAATCATTCAACAATAATAACTGAGTTTGTGGGGTCCCAAACAGCATAAAAGGAAAACCGGTAGAAACGCAAATAGAAACGGGTGAAAATACTATTTACTATCCACAGCATTGCACTCAGAATTTAAGACCATGTGCTGAGAGCTGACCTTTCCTCTTGCTCTTGTTTCTTTCTTCAGTGCCTTGCATATGGTGGGTGGTCAAGTTATGTTGGTTGAATTAATGAATAAGTAGTCAAGTTAGACTTGAGTAATAAGGTAGAAGTAACTGATATGGAGTGAAATTGGCAAAATTTTAAATACTTTTTGGTGCATACATGCAAAGAAATATGTAACAAATATTGGTTATTTGTTAGTGACAGGAACTACATAAAAATGAAGAGTGAGAATCCCCAAATCTTAGCAATGGGGATATTCCTGAAAAATCATGGGACATCTTTGCAGAGGAAAGATGAGCTAGGTGAGGAAAACCTGATATAAATTCTGGTGTCATAAATACCAATTTAAGCATGTGTTGACCATGCAGCTTCATTTGGACATTGGAAAAACCTGGTTGGCCAGGGGCGGGGTGGGGGGTGGGGCAGTGGCTAAGGACCTGGGGTACCAGCATCTTCAAGTCTTTCTTGTTGAGTGTTTTCTTCAAGAACTTGCTTTCCCCTTGTCCTCCTAATAGTTAACCTTGATGTCACGGAATCATCCTTCACAAAGTGCAGATTTTCTCCAGGTTGCATAATACTCAAATTATGCTTATGCCATAGTTATCATGTTAAAAAAATAACCATTGTATTTAAGATGCAATTTTTATAATAGCACTTCATACCTTACACAACGCTGTTTTCTCCTGGAATGAATGTGTGGAATGTTACAGTCCATAGCGCCTTTCTTTGCATTGATTTGTATTTCCTACCTTTGTGTGTTTTATGTAAATAATGCATTTATAAGGTCTTCCACTGAAACACTGAGGCAATTGACGCTCTTATAAAATAACAATAATAATAATAGTGGAGAATCCGAGATCTTTGTGTTTTTCCCACTTTTACAGTTGTCTGATCCACGCTTTGAAGTTTTGTTGGTTTTTTTGTCTTTTTGTGTTTTTTTGCGGTACGCGGGCCTCTCACTGTTGCGGCCTCTCCCGCTGCAGAGCACAGGCTCCGGACGCACAGGCCCAGCGGCCATGGCTCACGGGCCCAGCCGCTCCGTGGCATATGGGATCCTCCCAGACCGGGGCACGAGACCGTGTCCCCTGCCTCGGCAGGAGGACCCTCAACCACTGCGCCACCAGGGAAGCCCTGAAGTTTTTTTTTAACAGGTAGTCTTACTTCCAACTTTTTATAATGAAAATGTGCAAATATACAGAAAAGTTAAATAATAATAAAACAAATTGTATATCCACCTAGATTTAAAAATTAACATTTTGCTATATTTCTTACTGAACAATTGGAAAGTAACTTACAGACATTTCACCTCTAAACACTAAGCATGCATGTCATAAAAACAACCACAGTAACATTACGTACCTCAAAAAATGAACAGCACTAATATCTAGTGCTCAGCCCATGCTTCCATTTTCTCTATTGATCCAATCTCATTGCAAGCCTTACACATGATTGTCTGTTCCATCTACCTAAAACAGCTTCCCACCTTTGATTTTTTTCCAGGACTTCTTTTTTTTCTTTAAATAGAGCAGATCAGTTGTAGAATGTCTGACTTTCAGGATGTACCTGATTGTTTACATGTGGTTTGTTTTTCTTGTTCCTGTAGTTTCTGTAAATTTGCAGTTAGGGCCAAAGGCTTGGTGTATTCAGATTACAAATTTTTGACATTAACACCTTACAGATGTATTTCATATTGCATCACAACAAAAGTCTCATTAATATCTGGTTGACTAACTATCTGTGATGCAGAATTTGATCACCACATCTTCCCAGTGTAAGGTGTGTTTTTGCTGTTGCAGTTAATAGATAACCTGTGCACTGACACCAGCAATGCATGGATAGCCCGTTTACCAACAGCCTTGTATCTGGTGGTTTTGGGATCCAATGATGATGATCCTTGCCGGAATCAATCATTTCGTCAAGATTTGCAAAATGGCGATTTTCTTTATTTGTTTTGGTTGCACCATGTGGCGTGTGGAATCTTAGTTCCCAACCAGGGATCGAACCCGCACCCCCTGCAGTGGAAGCGAGGAGTCTTAACCACTGAACCATCAGGGAATTCCCCCTGCAAAATGGCAATTTTCTATCATTTTTACATTTACTTCTTTAAGGAAGAGCTTTCCTTCATTGGCTGGGAATGCACGTAGGGTCATGCTCAAGTCTTTCCTTAAATTACCAGTTTTCAGAGTCAGGAGTCACTGGCAGTGATGACAAGTGATTCAGTGTGTCACAAACAATTATGATCATTGTTTCTGATGCTCTAATTATCCCAGATTTGGCCAGTTAGAACCCTTCAAGTAGCCCTTTTGTCCTTTGACATTACCCCTCCAATCTCTGGGCACTTAATGGCCTTTTTTTTTTTTTTGTAAATGTATTTATTTCTTTTTGGCTGCATTGGGTCTTCGTTGCTGTGCGTGGGCTTTCTCTAGTTGCGACGAGGGGGCTACTCTTCGTTGCGATGCACGGGTTTATTGTGGTGGCTTCTCGTTGCGGAGCTCAGGCTCTAGGCGCACGGGCTCAGTAGTTGTGGCTCGCGGGCTCTAGAGCACAGGCTCAGTAGTTGTGGTGCACGGGCTTAGTTGCTCCACGGCCTGTGGGATCTTCCCGGACTGGGGCTTGAACCCGTGTCCCCTGCGTTGGCAGGCAGACTCTTAACCACTGTGCCACCAGGGAAGCCCTGGGCACTTAATGGCCTTTTGACAAAGCCATCTCAGGTTCACCTTGCACTTTAAATACCCCAGGTATGACATGAGCCATTTCTCCAGGAATCCCTGGCTCTTTTTAATAGGCAGCAATTTAGAAACCAGATCTGGGCAGTGGGCAGGCTCACTGCTACTGGGCGTGCTTAGCAAATGGGCTGAGCCCTTCCAACCATTGAGTCTGCATAAAGGCAACTCTGCCCTCAGTTTCATCAGTTACACAATATCTATGTAATGGGAGACATAATTACCTCCCAGACAAAGGACTCTGGGAGCAAACAAGTCTTGTTGAGCAAACTAAACTGGAGAGAACACAAGTGTTACGCTTCCTAGGAAAGCAGCAAACTTAACCACAAGAGGTCTTTTGCCAAGGCCGTCAGCAGCGCATTTCCAGAGGACGGGAGCATGTCAGTCAACCTGGCAAGTGGGTTAAGTAGAGGGCAGTTAAGAGCAACGAAGTGAAGGACACCAACTATGTTGTGTTTTAACTATGAAGTGTCTTGATGATTTACTGTGTTGATAAGCTAATCACACTCCTTTCCCATCACATTTCCTTAAGACAGGTTTCTGATCTAAATTTGAATTCTGAGAGTATTTCATGCAAAGTACTAGTTTTTCTTGCTAAACTTTTATTTGGTCTTTAAAACTTAAAGCCATTAGTTTTCACTCAACGCTCTATCTTCCGGCCGGTATGAATTCACTTGCATGTGCCTGTAAATGTACTTCCAGCCCTCTATTTCGGTTACTCTCCTCGTGGCGCTCTATTTCATTATAATTATCCCACCTCAGAACACTATAACCATTGAACATGGCAAGCATGTGCACTGCAGTGATATGTATGTATGTGTGTGTAAGCCTGTCAGCAGCATTGAGTCTGCTGTGTAGACGGGGAAAGTGAAGCCCAGGATGCTGACCTGAGGTCATGTACACAGTGTGACAGAACAAGGGTTGGAACCCATGGCTCCAGCCCTTAGTTGAGTTCTTCCTGTAAAATATTGTTAAGTGAAAACTGAGAACACAGAAAGTATGTACCTAATTACGTATTTTGATGAGATTAGAGCATTGAAAGTT